AATATTAACTGTCTTCGATCCTTGACCCGGCTTTGTTACAATGTCAATAAATGGAATCGGGATTTTTACCGGGAGTGTCCAGCCAAAACAGGTATATTTTAAGATAAATTGAGAAATTTCGCATGTTTTTATCTACTCCCGGGATTTTTGCCAATATCCATGTCTGATGTTTATGCTCATATTGACTACCATCAGATATTCGCAGTACTAACTCAAGAGCACACCGAAAGCAAAGATAATCTTTAAGAACGTTTAAAAGCTAAATGGCAGCGTTTTGTACGTTCTACGCTCCTTTGAACCAAAGCTTTTGACGAATATCCAAAGCCAGTGTTATCGAATGTTGAAGAAGTTAAAGAACATAAGCTACCTTTTTAGACTCCTTGGCCCCTAAAATGCTTAACGAAATTTACTTATCCCTCTGGGGATACCAACTTCCGCAGGTGGGGTTATTTATTTATAGGCTGAGATAATGCTCAGACAATCCAAAGTCAAGTAAAGGTTCCACACATACGACTTTGTTTAATAGATTGCGGGCAATTTGGCGTCCCAAAAGTTCAAAGTTGGTGGAAAGCGATGAGCCCTTGCGAGTGCGAGAAAGAGTCTGACGATGAGTAAATAATAGGCGATCGTGGCAGTCATGACGGGAGAGGGGTTTATAAGTGTCGGTGTCGGCGGCTTTAGGCAAGGGTGAATCGTGTGGTGTTGTTAACGGTAGACAATTGATGGCTCTGGTGAGTGACGGTAACCGGCGTCAGTATTGGTGAGAGTTTAGACGGCAGCAGAAAGAGCTTTAATCCACCAGTGAATGTGAATGTACTAGTCGTACGCCCAATGAAATGGCGATCGATTTGCGGCGACCCATAGATGCATGGATGAGTTTTCCAGTGATTCTCGCTAACGGTAAGCGCTGGATAATGACCAGTGTGCTAGTGGACACCGGCCGGTCATCCGGGGCTCTCGGTAATGATCGTGATCTTGTTTCGACGTCGAGACTGGAAATATACCGGAAGTAATTTCTTTCTTCTGGTTATATTTTGAATCTACCAGTACTGGCACTGAAAAGGCATACTTACGAACTCTCCGTAAGATTCATACATGCTCCACAAAAACACAGTTACAACCTTAATGAGCCCGGTCCCTGTGAATATTGTCACTACCTATCGTAGACGAAGAAATTCAGCTCCCTAGATCGTGATATGCCCAACTTATGGCCAGGTTTGTGAAGGCACTTCCCATTATATTAACCATATATTGACTTTTGCAAAGCTACTTGCAAATTGTACGATAAGAAACTCGCCCTTAGCTTAAATAGAGAAGAGTTCAAACTGTTGGTGGGACTCCTAGATAGGAAAACAAAAAAGTACAGGAAATGTGCGTTTCAGGAATAAATTATAAGGCACATTAATGGAGGACAAAAAGTGCAGGAAATTAAAGTTTCAGGAATATGTAAATTATAAGGAACATTGTCTGTGAGTGTCCAGCGTTTCGCAGATGAAGGCGAGCATAGCTCAATGAAGTTCGGCTAAACGACCTACAGTCATCCATTGACAAAGAACAAAAAAACACCGAGTGCAATGCGCCAAAGCGAATACTTTATAACATTGCCTTAGCTTTTCGTCGACCAGCCTGCGGTATCTAACTACCCCAGTAAGCTGATTCCTTTATTCTTACAAATCAACAATCAACACTAGAGGCAACACCAATCAAACACGCGCTGGGTATAGAAGCGCTGTAGCTATTAACTAACCGAGTAACCACGACCTATGCGCTTTCCAATTTGGCACACAATGTGCGATCGATGGTAAGGTTCGGCAGGGGCGGTGTACGGTGCGACCGCCCAGCAGACGCCAACATCAGCACCAAGCAGCCAACACCAACATGCGGCCGGGCAATAGCAATAAAAGGTGCATGCAACACCAGCGGAACCTTTCACAACAACAACAACAATAATGGCAACGACATCAGCCCCAGCAAAAAACGAGCTCAGCGATACAACTAGCAAAGCAGCGAGGCGAGCAAGCGGGCGAATACGTAAAGCATTACCTTCACCGCGGGCAAATAATTGAGCGAAAGAGCGAGCGTGCGAGCAAGCGGCAAGAAGAAAACATACCGCTTGGCCTCCATATTTTACATTAAACCCTACCCGCACTCAATACTCGTAAACTTTTGCATTATTTTTTTTTCGTTTTTTTTTTTTTGTTGGCGACTATTACATGTAATCCTGCATTCGTGTTTGCCGCTAGACGTGCCAGCGCACATGGATGCAGGCGAACGCACAACATCTGTTCGATGCGGAGGCTTGATGCGGCTATTTGATGCGACCAAACTTGGTTCGACGCCAGCCGAGAGTGAAAGTTCATTTTCGCCGCATCTGCGCACAATTCAAGCGGCGGCATTCGGTACCTCTCACGCAGAGCAATTGACCAACGCGAAGTAAGCCACACGAACGATGACACTTCGAGCGACTTCCTGCCACCGTCCCGACGACAAGTCAAAATAAACACGTGCAAGGCGTCTAATTCGCATCGGAAATGCATTTGCCTCCCATAAACAAGCAAGCATAATGACTTTTAGTTAAAGGAAAATGTGTAAGTGTGTGCGTGTGTGCGTAAGCGAGGAGCATATGTTTGCGCACACATTCAGTAAACATACTTCTAAGGACGCTTATTCCTCGCCTAACTCGTTCACCCAATTTTCCCTTGCTAATTTTTTTTTTTTTTTTTTTTTTTTTGTCTTATTGTCAACACTGTTCGCCAGCTGTGTTCTGATACCGCTCACTGCACTACCCTCAAACGATTATTCGTGCATTGTGGCGCAGCGTAGGATGCTTATTCACAATTTTAAATTGACTTAAAGCTCAATGGTGCAGTGGTTGGCAAACTTGTTATTGCAATTGCTCGTTAAAGGCGGCGCAAAATTGCCTGATATTCAGAAGCAATCCCAAGGCAGAGATAAGTAACGGCGAAATATTGCTCTGCGCAAAAAAAGGAAAAACAAACATTTTGTTGACCTTAACCTTTGAAAATATTTTTCTCGCACAAATGCAGTTAATTTCTGGTATTATTCCATTCCAAGGAATTCAAATAGGCGGAAATTATTTTTAGAAAAAAAAAATACAAAGTGCATTTATTACATAAATACACACATGCATACGTAAGCTTCAATTTTTCACTAGTTCTGATTAGTTTCGTGCGCAATAACTGCAATATATAACTGGATCGAATGTACTTAAAGTTGATAATTCAAATCACACCTTTGGTGGCCCCTGATAACAAAATTATTGCATTTCGAATTGATGCTCAGCAAAATTGTATTTATTTAGGAATCTATAATTGGCAATTGAATTTGTCTATCATGCTGTTAATATATTTTTCCTAGAAATAAACAAAGAGGCGGTTGGCCCTCCCGTATTTTTAACCCCTACTTTCTGGAGTTTCGTATGTTCACGAAAGTTTAGGCCTGAGACGTTCTAAACAAATTTGTCAAGGAAATTTTGCCGAAAAAGCCAACCAGATAAAAGTTAGAAACAATAAAATAGTGTATAACGCTTGAAAAATTTCCATTGGAGGCCAAGCATTCAAAATAAAAAGTTGTATGAAGGCGTGCAGAAAACTTAAAAAACGAATGATGCAGTTCGATTCCCCATACCCGAGATAGGGTGAAACCGTCTTCTCCGGCAATGTCTTGTTTGAACAGAACTATCACTGTGATATCGATAACTACATAAATTTCGTTAACCTGGCAATTTTCTAAAATCACATAAATTTTTAGAGTCGGATAGCTTTTCTGTGCCTATAGATTTCGACAACTCAATAAACATTGATCAATTTCAATAATTCGGGACGTCGCGATAATTCAGTAAACAAAAAAACTCGATAAATTTCGATATTTCGATAAATTTCGGTAACTTGATAACTTTCGAAAAGCAATTTTTTATGACTGAATTTATTTCGATTCTTATCGAAAAATTTCAATAAGTTTTTATACCCTTTCACTTACCCTACTTCTTATGTATTTCTCATTGTTTTCATTTTCTTCTTTATCTTCAACTGTGCCTTCACCTTTTTGTCTTTATCATCACAATTTACTTTATCACAAAGTTTAATTTCAAATTCGAAGTAAAACAAAATGTGAAAACGACTCAAACTGAACAGGTTGCAACAACAACTGTAAACAAATACGGGCATTTTTAAACGAAGATTTTGGCCATAATTTTCAACCAATTTGAGATTATTAGAACTCCTCTGATCCACTGAAAAATACCTTTCCAATGGTGTTCTTGGCTTTGAAATCGGTTCGGTACAATCTGCAATTGAAGGCAACATGACTTTTGACCACCTGCTGGCCCTCGATGCCTCGTAGTCATTACTGAAGGAAGTATTCACCCAGTTTCTTATGGTGGCTCCGATGGCCGAAGTGCTATAACTGGTTGCGTATGCCATGTCTGAGTGAACTCTGGTCAAATGATCAAATGTGTCATTACCAGCTCCCGAGTAAGTGACCTGGCACCCAGGGTAAAGCAAGCTCGTTATGTTTACCATATTCGTCATAGGGATAAGTGAGGACTGAACGACAGTACGAACTACGCCATTCCTTAAACAAGAAGACCCCAGATTGTGATAGTGTGTAGAAATAGTTGGTAGAAAATGGATGGCTGGAAGAGACACCTTTGTTGCAATCACCACACATTCCTTTCCTTACAGACGACTCAAAAATTTGCAACGTACTGGAATTCTTATTATTTCATTCGGAACCTTGCAGTTCAACATTGCATCAGACTCAGTTAGACGGTCGTAATTTTAGTTAGTGGACACGCCTTCCATTATTTTGCCTTTTTACTTTACCAAGCAGTTTTTTTTTTGTATATTAACGAAGAATTCATCTATAACCTATTGGAATTAGTGATTGGATTTTACTATAGCGATTTAAATGTTTAGTAAAATTATGCTATTAAAGCAAATAGGAGGTAATCATTTCATATTTGTTTCCTATTTTCACAGCTGCTCTCGAAGAGGACTGCATCGATTTTCAGGGTAATTCGGTTAATCATGGCATGCTGTACGTACCCGGACCAGGAGTTTGTAGTCTATGCGTTTGCTATCATTCAGAGCCTCTGTGGTGCAAAGCCATCTACTGTGATCCACCCTATGTAAGTGTAAATTAAAAGTTAATGTAAATGCGCCTAACATAAAATTAACATACATTTGTTTAAACTCGAATTTCAGTTCTGTAAAAATTTCCGTGTTGGAGAGCGCTGTTGTGAATTCGAATGCTTGGATCCGCCCGGAGAGGACAACAAGTATCAGGTAAAACAATTTTTTTGTTTACTAAGGGCCCTTTTCACAGCGAACAGTTAACTCTCAAACGACACACAGTGAGAAAATGAACTATTTTGGTGACAAATTAAAAAAACCCTTGACCTTTAAAATTATCTAAAAAATAGAAATGTTTCACTTTTTCTTTTGACCTGAAAACAGTATGCAATGAACTTTTTTATAAGCTTTAAATACATATTTTTGCTCATTTCGCGTTAATAAACCGATTTTCATGGTCCCATTCATTCAGAAATTCATTATATGCTGTTTTTAGTAAAAAAAATACAGAAGATCGTTTTTCTTGGAGTGTAATTTATAAGGCCCAATTAAAGAAAAATTACCTGGCCTTAATACCAACCAGAGGATTAGTATGATCTGCATCAGCGGAGCAATCCTGACAACGCCAAATGATACTTGAAATGTCTTTTTGGCTCCTCTGCCACCAGATCTAGTCGCTGCCGCTTAAGAGAGACAGGAAAAATAAAGTTCATGCCGGTTTATAAAGATCGTTGTGTTGAAATTCTGGCTTCGGATAGCAACTGCGTCATAAAAATTCCCAGCAGGGAGGAATTGATGAAAAAATACTATGTCATACTCCACGCTGCAGTATAGTAATTTTCACAGATGGTACAAAAATTAACACTGCCCTGAGTCGTTAATTTCGACTACCAGACTACTGTAGTGTCTTCTAGGCTGAGGTCTCAGCTTTATTCGAAGCTATAAATGAACTTCAAACTGATTTAAAAGGTAAAGAGGGGTCCATCTTCAGTGACAGCCAGGCAGCAATTAAAGCTGTGAATTCCGTCGCAATAAAATCAAAAATTATGCTGGACTGCCGCCGATCTCTGCAGGAGATGGCTAAGCAGAATAATCTAAACATCATTTGGGTTCCCGGTCATATAGAGGGTAACTGTATTGTGGATGAACTTGCAAGATACTTTTAAAAGAATTTGGCCTTTTCCATCGAAGCCTAAATTCCCCAAAAAGGGAGGATATTTCTCACACTATTGGTGCTCTAACAGGCCACTGCCTCATAGGTAAACACGCAGAACGGCTCGGAGGCCTTACCTTGAACATTAAACAAAATATATAAATTACGTTTTTCGGTTTTTGCAACCATAGAAATAGATTCCTTGACTCAAGATCAGCTAAAAGAAGTGTTTACAACTTTTTAAAAAGTTCATTGCTTACTGTTTTAATTATGAGAAAAAAAGAAAAACAAATTGAAAACCTTCTATTTTTGTTGAAGGTAATTTCAAAAGACAGTCGGGGTCTTCACGATACGGTGCATACTGTCTAGCAAGGTACATAGTTAGCATAAATAGCATGATTGGCTAATTATATTTGTTGGTTGAACACATTAAACAAAACATAGATAGCAGCATGCTGAGACAGTATGCACCGGATAGTGAATACCCCTAGTGTAGTTTTTGTATCCAACGAGTTACTTTTTTCTGAATTATCTTTCTCGAATTATTAAAACATACGGTTACATTTATTTCACTGTCAGTTCTCGTTCTCGAGATATTCGATTTTGTCTTAAAAGAATTCAGTTTTCCACACTGTGCGGCAGTTAACTTTAAATTTTTGTACTGAAAACCTATGTGAAAACGGCCTTAAGTGTTTGTCTAATCTTTGTTTCATTTTACATTTGATTCATTTTAGGAGCGCATGCGAAAACGCGCTGAAATATTGGCTGGCAATAGCACAGCGTCAGTGCCCATAACGCCACTGGCTGTATCGACCATAGTGTTTACAGTGCTGACAAATAGCATTTTAAATTTATAACTTCAAGCGAATGGCGAAATTGGCGATGGTGGGTGGTGAGGTGCATAGAATAATTAAATGTTAAAATGTAAAATTAAAAAAAATATATATATATATATATATATATATATATAAATGGAAAGCGCCTTATTAGGGGTGAAGCGATAGTGGAAAGCTGCGAATCGAAGAAAGTGTAGTAACAAATTTTTGCCAGTTGCGCGTATTTACATACATACATACATACCAACTAAATAAATTGTAATCTCGTCTAGGATATATGTACATAGATATCTATGCATATGAATTTAGCACATTTTTTATATACTTCAAGTAACAATAAATTAGTGCAAAATGTGACACGAAAAATCAATCTTAGCAAAAGGAAAAATTAATTTAATTAAAAATAATGCAATTTTAGAGCATAAAAGAAAACTCTTGCAAATACACAAATATTTATCTAATGTAGAAAAATGAAAACGAACACTTTCAATTAAGAAATACTTATGATAATAATTTTGAAAGAAAAATAAATACTGAATTTGAAGAGAAAATCTATTGCCACAATATGAATCGTTTAGTTGATATCCTAATGCAGGTGTATATAAACAAATGAACAATACATGCTAGGTTCTCATTTTCAAACCAATATGTAACTATTACAGATATTAAAAAAAAAACGAAATTAGTCTCATTGCTAATCTAACGAAATCGAAAATAAACCAAACAGCAAACCATTCAATATACAAACTTATATATATATATATACATATATCTAGAGAGTAATATTAAATCAAAACACATCACTAACTCTTAATTGCTATGCTGGCACTTAAATATTATTAAAAAAAAAATACATACAAACATATGTACTAAAAAAATAGAGCGGAAAAGCTTGCTGAAATTTGGCGCTAACCGCCAATTATCGGCCACGAAGTGACAATTGGTTTGCTATTATTTTACTTTTTTTGGTTTCTAAAGTAGTCTAGAACAACATATCTACTTCAACGACTTGCAAGTGAAAAAAAACACAATAAAAAAGAACTTATGCTGCACTCTGTATGAAGTGTAATGAACATATTTAGAAAATATCATTTTCGAGACATGAAAACATTTTTAATTGGTGCTAAATAAGTTAAATGTAGATGAGAGAAGATTGATTAATGAAATTAAAGATATTCAGCAAACACACATACATACATACAAACGTACGTTCATAAATATAAATTGCACTTTTAAGCATTCGAGTTAATACAAGCATACATACATACATACATACATACGTGCATATATCCCAGTTGGAAAAAGTAATGTATGGTAATCGAAAATATAATCAGTAAAATAGCCATTTTCACATTCAAAAATGTATTTTCCCCCAATGGCGATGTCCTAAGAAAAGTGGAGCATTCAATTACCGAGTATCGAGGAATGGATGTGATTTAATATGAATTTTTTGGAACTTTTTGGATCAATAATAGAATCTAAAACTCATAAGAAAAGTATTACATTATTTATCACGCATGTAATGCATTACTACTTTTCCCACTGGGATACTATGAATCACATTTGGGGGTATTCACGAGGTATCATTGCTGGTCATATTGTTATTAAGCTCAAGAATATTTTTGGGTAATTCCGAGCAACCACGAAATATTTTTAAACCATTGAAAATATATGTATGTAGGGCTTTATGACGATAAAAATTTTATGACGCATTGTGAATCCCCAAAGTAAGTTTAATTTAAGAAAAAAATGTACTTTATATATGTACATAAATTGTAAATATGAACATAAATAAATACACATATATATTTACATTAGACTGGTTCAAAAAAATTCGCATATAAATATATGTATATATTTTTTCAAAATCCCTTGTAAAACAAGCGCATCCCTAATACACGTATTAAGATTTAGCGGTCGCTCAGCGCGAATTTCTGTTTTCCGCAGAAAACATTTTTTTTTTTTAATTTTATAATTCGTTTTTAAGGCAAAGTACCAGAATATGCGATATACATGTACATATATATTTTAAAATGAAATTGAAGGCTGTCTCACATGCTCATAAATTCACATATAAAAATTTTTTCAGGGACCGGGAACGCTTTTCGGGGATGAAATATCTTTTCGGTGAGAACCACGCTTGTAAATTATTAGCCAGAGGAAAGGTGGATCATTTTCACTTACCGATCGTCTATCGTTAGGGTGACCTGTCCATTTATGAAACAATTTTTCATTTTCTGTGCAAGTAAAGTTCGTGTCTTAAGTCTTTCTAACTAAGGCAGCGCTATGAGACAAATTTTATTCTCGCTTCCAGTCTTCGCGAATAGTTCAGAGAATATTTGCTGCCGTTTCATTTTCTGTCAGCACGTTTCTGAGACTTTAGTTTCCAAATTTTTCTTTGAGAGAAAGTTTCTTAGACTTTTGTTCCCGTTTCGTTCTTTCCCGGAATGTGCGGGAGACTTTGGTTCCCATTTTGTTCTCTTAAATATTCTTTGCTTTGGGGACGTTCCCCCGGGTTTTCTTCTTAAATGATTCTCATTGAGAATGTTCTCGGCAGTTTTGTTCTTACTCTCGTTCTTGTGAAAGCACTCTCGAAGGTTTTGATCTCATTTTGGTTTGGGGTTTTAAGCGTTCTTAAGAACAAAACTACGACAGCGACATTTAGTTTCAATCATACCTTTTATTCTCCCTGCTTTATTTTTTAATTTTCGGTAAAATGTTAAATTCTATCAATAAATGTCATAAAATTTATCTTGGAAATTTAATAATTTTTAATTTTCTTTGAAAAAATATCATTTAACAATTTGTGAAACGTAAAATTTACTAAAGCGTGTATTGTTGTATACGCCATCTACATATTGACAATTTTTGACTATTCATTTATTTATTATTTATTATTTATTATTTATTATTTAGTTTTAATTTTATTTTTATAAAAAATAGAGTTAATTCTTTAACAACAACTTCAAACTTTGTGCAATATTTAAACAAAAACAAACAAACTTTCGTTGAAATTTCGGCCTTTTAAATTCGATTTCTTCGAAAGATTTTGAGTATGCAGTCTTAAATGTTAAACTTGATAATTTAAATTAAATGATTTTTTTTGAACATTATTAAAAATTAAAAAAAAAAAATTTATATTTTTTTACATTTTGCCGAAAATTGAAAAAAACGTAAAATTTTTTACATATTCGATGAGCGACCTGTAAACCTTAATACTAAGGCCTGCGATTTTAACAGGCATATTTTTCACTCGCGAAAATATTTCACAAGAGACTTGGAAAAATTTAGATTTATTTATTTCAACCAGCCTAATGTACACACATACATATAAATTCACAGCTTTTTATTCTTAGGTAGATGCTTTGAAAGCATAAAAACACCAAATATTTACAAGCATACTTGCATATAATTATAGTTAAATATAGGTATCTAATATGTATTTCAGTAAGTAGTATAACTCAGAAAATTATTTTAATACAACAAAAAAATTAAATAAAGGAATAAACAAAAAATGGGGAGGGCGTTTCTATATGTACATATAATAGAACGGTAATGGCTTCGCCACTCTTTAGACTTAATTTTTCTTCTTAGGTTTAGGAAACCCGATCAAATACAGTGGAACATCGATATAACACACCTTGAAAAAACGAGAATCTCAATAAAAATAAAAATAAATTGTTTAGTTCCCTGAAAAAAACCTTATTTTTTTCCAAATTTTTTCGACAAAAATGTTCCACAGTTACCATTGAGAATCTTTGAGCATGAAAACCTTGGGAATATATTGACGGTTAAGGTCCCGATAGCAAAAAGGCTCTATATAACGTAATGCCAACTCAAAGCCTCTACATATCGAATTCTGAATATGTTGGCGGTTCGAGCTCCGTTATAAAAAAGGGAAACTTTACTTATAACGAATTTTTTCCAAATTACGAAGCATTTGTTCAACCCCTTCACCTGCGTTATAACGAGGCTTCACTGTTTTGTAATATTACTAACAAAAACGTTAACAAAATCGATGAGAAATTAACACAAAATAACGAAATTGCATTGTGTATGCTAGAGTGTTCCAGATTTTTTTTTGTTTCTCGTAATTCGACGCCTAAATACTTTTCTTTAAAAGTTAACGCTCGTACTGAGATTATCACACTGCGCGGAAGTTGTCCTATTTGAAAAATTTTACATTTCGTATTTCATTTTTAATTTTGCATTTCAATCTGAATTGATATACATACACACATACATTTTCTTTGTTTATGACGAGATGTTTTATTTTGTGAGAGTGAAAAATTTTTTGTAGATCGGAACCACTTTGTCACCAAATAATAACTAAGTGGCTACACTCTTATGCAGAGGCGGTAAGGGCCCATAGACGAAACATGGACTACGCTTTACAGAAATGCGCTTGGAATGACCGGGCCCTCCTCCTCCGGAAAGGTGCCTCTAGCCAACTCTAGACCGGTTTTAAATGAACACTGGGAATCGATCATTCAATCTCTTCGTACCGCTGCGGTTGGCTACTATCACCCACACAGGAACAACTGGTACGACGAAAAGTGCCGAGCAGCTGCTGCAGAGAAATACGAATCATTCCAAGGCACCAGGCAGCAAATTCCGACGCGCAATTCAATTGAGCTGTACCGGGAAGAGGGGAAAGAGGGACGTTTATTTTAAATATTTAAAGAAAATATATAGGTGTGAGTGTTAATAACTTAAGACGCTGACAAGCAGGAATGCGGCGCGAAACTTTTATCAGAAAATAGGAGTAACCACATAGCTGGTCGCTTGTTTCAATGGCTTTATGTTGAAATGGAGAGCATATCTAGGAACACGACTACCAACAAAATTTTGTATGTTTTGTTTACTACATATATTATTATTATTTTTCAATCGACTTTGTCTTGTAAGCTTAACCCCCTGCCATATCAGGCTACGCCAGGCTAGATAGGAAGCTAATATCTTGCTACTTTGCAATATGATGGGGAGTGCATTAGCCGGTGTAGCCTATAGTTGTATGGTAACAACTCCTAGTTCTGGGGTTTCCGCGTAGGAACTCTGTACTTTTTAATGAATAACACGACATATATCAGTTTCCCAGGCACTTAACTAACTAGCTAACAAACTAACCCTAAAGGGCGACACCGAAACTCTGGTCAAATCAGCGGGCTTTTACTACTAAGCTGCTTTGAAAAAAAATAAACAAAAATTGCATTGGGTGCATCGTAATATTAGTATCAGAAGTTCGTTAAATGTGTTAAAAAGTATCTACTTATGAAAAATTGTATGACACCCCTCCCCCCTTTAATTGAAAATCGAGATGCCATTGTCAACTTTGTAAACAAATCCATGTGTATTTTCCATACGATTTTCAACTTATACGTCGTGGGGTGTTAACTTTCATCGACTGTCAAAGTTGCCTTTTCATGGGTACTTTTTAACAAATTTAAGAACTTCTGATCCTATTACGATGACGAGCAGAATTTTTTGAATAATCAATATATCGGTTTTGGGGATATCTAGCCGCAATTTTTTACCACAAAATTATTTCAGTATTTCGGTCATTCATTTTTGAATAACGCAAATGCGAAGAGAAAGATGAGGGCAACTGGAAAGTTTTCCGAACCAAGTCTTTATGGAATAAAGCATTGCGCTTCGGAAAAATTTCTTCAGCCACTAATTATCGGAATGCCAAATCATAACAACAATACTACATAAAAAGTGACC